GAAAAATATAACAGCCTGGAATTTGCAACATTTATTTACATTGCTAAGCACGAGTAGTCCCAGTGCAGACAGTGTAGTTGCATAGATAGTTAACAATTCGCTTCAGAGCTGCAGAATGTGGTCCAAGCAAATAGGTGGTGGCAGGAAAATATTTTTTAAAAGCTTTTGTTTTCAGGTACATTGTAATGTCAGCATTCTTCTGAAATTTTACCTGAACACTCGTCTGTTTTACTTACAACATATTTTAAAATGCTAATTTAATAAATTACGTAGCGGTTGGGATTGTTTTGCGCTAGATCGCACTTTTTCACATGATTCTCTGCTCCCAATGGATTGATCTGCAGTCTACAGAAATGTGTAGTTAAGGTGTAATCAGATATTAAATTGATTAACATGGGGTTCTCATGAAATATGAAAGTCTTTTTCAGATTTTTCCAGCCCAGTGAGGAGCTAAACATTCAAGTTCTGTTGATTTCAAGAAACCCAGGGCGAACGTCTTCCAACCACTGGTAAGTTAGAACTGGTGCCATTTTGCATGTTTGAGTATTTTAATTAAATCTTTGTTTCCTGTTAATCCTAGAAATGAGATCATAGTTGCCAGCCTTCAACATGTATACTGAGTATCACATCAATATTTGGAAATAAATTATGGCTGTACGTCATAGCATTCGGGCTCAAAGGCAGTATTTGTCTTTCCACTTGTGCTTACTTTTGAGCTTCTCACTGTCTTTTTCTTCTTCTTCAGTTCCACCCCATGGGCTGTAGGTTCATTTTCAACACCATTAGCTGTAACTGATGATACAGGAGTATCGAGACCCATTAAGTTGTGCTGATTTTCTCTCTCATTCCTCTGTACCCTTTTTTTCTTTTTCTTTGCACCTCTAGAGGAAGGTCGATATAAAAAGAGTAAAAGAAACACAAAGTTAGCTCAAATTTAGAGCTTTTTCCACCCACAGCTGATGTGTTAGAGCAATTGTCTGCCTGTTCCCCTTGAGTACAATGCATAACAGCTACAAAAACTACTGTTCCGTAGCAGAACAAAGACAGAACAACCATGAAGACAAAATATGAGACCACTCCACTAGTCTACTTTCTGACATACCATAGCATGACTTTGAAAAGAACTGCTTGTGATCTTAAAAATGAGCTAGTCTTGATCAATAGTCAACAGATGTAATTAAAAAATATAAATTACTTGTCTCCTCCTCTCATAAATGTCATTGCACTTTTTTTTTCTTTCCTAAGCTCAAACCCCAAAATATTTGCCATTAAAGAGAGATTTCTGGTTTATTTATTCAAGAAGAATAAAACAGGCAGGTAAAGTTCATAAGATTAGTTTTTCCATTTTAATTTACCTGAACTATGACAGAATTATGGAATCAGAAATCACTTTAATGTCTATTTATGCTCACCAGATGTCATACAAGGCCAAAAGCATCAGTCAAGCTCCTGCATCTTTCCTAGTCAGTGCCTTTAACAAGGGAATTAGACTGGTCTTGCAGATGATGCCAGCGATTATGCAGATATTACACCACTTCTACCACGAATGTCCACTCTTAGCAGAAGCTGTAACTTTTTTTAACTATAAATATGTAATAAGACTTCAACTGTAACCTTTCAAGGGCAGGTACTGTCTTTGTTCAAAATTCATATTGTGCCTACCACGAAGAGGGTTGTGACCAGAACTGTTACGCTGAATGCTGCTGAAACACATAAGTGAGCAGATGAGTCAAGACTTAAGAATGCAATAAGATGTGTGCAATTTCCCCAAAAATGGTGCTGCATGAGCATTACTGCTGGTGATACTGTCCTAACGTGATTATATTTTATAGATGAAAATGTTAACACATCAGCCTTGCTAATAGACTGATGAGTATCTGCCTATAGTTTGATTTTTTAAGCTAAATTGTGTATTCATGAATCCATGAATTGTTGCAGTTCTAATACTGGAACATCCTAAGGAAAAGATTCTGGAATATAAGACACACTGTGTTAGGATTCCTGGAACAATTTCAGAAGTACTGCTGCATGAGGAAACTGGGGTATAAAATCACAATTAATCATTAATATAAGTACTCATCTACCAAACTGAGTGTTGAGCTGGGTCTCGTGTAATCACCTGTAAATTTATGTAGAGAGCACTACCTAGTGTAGCTCAACAAAACTGTACAACGACAATATATCTAAGAAGATAATGTCTGTACTGACAAATAGTATCCAATCATTAATATTCAAAAGGTGAGACTACTGTGCAGATTTTCAGTATAAACCTACTCAAATTTTGAGAAGTAGTTTTCATCTTTTTATTATTTGAACATCAGATGTGATGATGGATCTTTGAGATACTTAGACAAAAACCTTAGTTCACTTAGCACCTGTTATGTGGACAATTCTCTGTTTCTTCTAGAGTCTGCAGAAGATAACTGCTTGGCTAAGATAAAAACCTACTACCATCTTGGATAAAATTTGTTTTACTATTGCAAAACCTGTATTTTCCACCCATAAATTCTGACAGACAGACATGTTATAAGGACTGGCCATTCACTTTCCTTTAGAGTAAGTACCATGGCCACAATGAATACGGTTCTAACAGGCAAAACAGCAATCATTCATTTGGAGGCTCACCAAAAGGTGCAGTAAGTCATGCAGGTGCCCATAGTTTCACTTCTCCATAGTGAAAATGCATACTTGGCAATCACATCTCACTCGATTCTTACGAAGCTTATTTACTGCATAATTCCTATCAATATACTAGCGTGTGGCATGGATATTAAGTGTATTTTCACAGAAAACAGGAAGATAATAGAATGTTTTAGGTGGAGCAATCATTTAAGTACAGATTGGACTGGAACTCAAGTCATGTTAATACTGCTTTTAGATGCTAAAATAGAAAACTTTTCCAGTTAAGATCGCAACACTTGCATGTGTGTCATTTTTTAAGGATATTTCAAGACACATCTACTGCAGCTAACAAGGAACCTACAGCTCCTTGTCACAGCCCCTGCATGTCGCAGTTTCAGGTCCAAAGAAGTGAGAATTTTCACGAAAAATATGCAGCCATGTTTCTGAGATGTTTTATTACCTAATCTATACTATACAGACAGCACATGCACAGAAACATGGAACAATCTTTCAAACTAGTAGCATCGGAAATGCCAGAAGATCCTTCTCTCTTGTAGCTCTCAAAATAAGGTAAAACCTTGCAGTCTTTTCCAAAAAAAGCTTTGTATGTGCAGTCACTGCTACAATTACAAAGACAAGTGAATCACATTTCACTATGCTCTAGCTCATGGAAGAGCTTGGAAAGTACATACTTTCAGCTTCAAGCTTTAGATGAGGAATAGACATTACTCAGATTTGCATTCTGATCTGAAAACATGCAGTGAAAAAGACAAAACACAAGCACCAGGGAAAAACGCAGCAAAAACATAATAAAGTCTTACAATACTCTGTACATAGAAGGAAAATACAGCAGTGTGTAGGACTGACATGTCTATCTTAGAATCATAGAATCATAGAATGGTTAGGGTTGGAAGGGACCTTAAAGATCATCTTCCTTCCTTTCAGATTAGCTCTCTCCGACAAGGTATAGCATCGAACGCTGCCTCATGGCATCTTTCCCTCTCCCTCACTAATGATCAGGTGCAAGTGGCTCAGTACCCTGAAAGCTTGTGAATGAGGCTCTGCAACACTGCTCAGGTGGGACAGCAATGACATGGAGCATGACTTCAGACCCGCATGTCCATGGTGCTTCTGCTCCCTATAGTTCAGGAGAAGGGAGCACATTCCATTGACTCAGGCATGCAGGTGTCTTCTCTTGCCTTTTTGAAATGTAACTGAAGTGATTTTGGGGCTGTTTCTTCAGCGTGACACTTCAGTGTGACCTCTTCTCAGGACAGCCTTAGTTTCCATTAAAATGAATATTTTACATTTGATATGACTCAAAATTCTTGAGTTTGATTAAATTATTTGTGATTCTAGATTTTAAATCTGTAGTCCCACATTCTTCAGTGGATGCTCTGGAAAGGTCAACTCAATTGTTTTCTGAAGTTCTACTAATGGAGCTGAGCCACACCAAATTTTTGATACTGGCTTCTAACAGAGTGTATCGACCATCACAGTAACTGTGCAAAAGCATTTCTTCCTTAAGGTACATCCTATCAGAATAGTTATGCCCAAGATTCGATGCTGAATTCTGTTAATATGTAGTTATACAGCCCATTCCTCATCATACACAGGGGTTAAACTTTCCACTCACAATTTATTTTCAAATCTAGATATGGCTAGAGACAGAAAATTAAGATTTAAAGATAAGCTAAGATTAGGTATGTATCTGCATCTACACTGCATATGCACAGATTATCTATATGGAGAAGGGACCAGTCTGGAAAACAATTAGCAAAATAATTTTGTTTAGATGACAGATACCTGTAATGGCAAACAGAGGAAGTATTCTCAGATGTCATTTTTGAAGCATAAATGGTTGCAATAGCTAAAGATATTGTGGAAGTTCTTGTTCAAAATATTGAGATCTTAACTGGTTACAGCTTTCACACAACGAATACATACAATTTTAAAAAATGTGTCAAAGTCAAAGATGCTAGCTTGTATCCTCTCAGTATGTGACAACCTTTTGCAATTTACATTAATTAATTTTTAGAAGGTGCAAAAATAGCTTGCAGTTTGTAGCAATAAAGCCTAATACACAGCTAAGAGATGCCACAGGGCAATCTCGTATTCTTGAGTTTTGATTCTCATATACATCATAGCCCTTGCTCTCCCGGGGGAGAGCGGGTGTGTATGCATGTGTGTGTGCGTGTGTACATATATACAAACTGTTATTTCCTTCATATTTCAGGTGTGAAGAGCTTTTGAATGTATATCGTAAAGCTAACTTCTTATTTTGCTTGCTAAAACAAAACAATCCTTCCGACATTTCTCACAGTTTTCTAGCAGCAGTTGTATAAATAACATTGCAAATTGTTTTAAGTATTTCTTGCTTACTGTGTTGCAGCTGAATCTTTATCTGTGTCATGCTCTGGGCTAAATTTTAGGTCCCCTGACTTACTGATGACTGGTGACATCTGTAAAAGAAAAAAAAAAAAGCAGGAAGGTAAAAAGAAGACAGACAATGGGGCCAACACATGTACATAGAAAACCCACCAGCTTCCTGAATAAGGGGAGAATATACCTCGTTTGAAAAAGAATGTCTATCAGCCATAAAATGTAAACTCCTGTGTGGTTACAAACAAGGAAACAGTACTCTGTGCTTTAATAAAAAACAACAATAACTAGTTGCAAATAAAAGACAGTTTTCAGGTATGTGTAGAAGCAGAAGGTTATGAATCTGCTTGAAGTCAGCTTAAAATACACATGATCCGCAAAGAATTAAGTTATTTCTGCTACTACATGAGTAAAGACAGCATGCTAAAAAGCCATCTTATCGTATAGTTTTAACACGAGAAACCTGTCTATTTTTTAAGCCTGCAAGTTTCAGTCAAAAGCAGTTCAAATCAGTCCAGGTTACTTTATAATTCAGGGCTAAAAACCCCCTAAAACCCAAACAAAAAACTCCAAACGCGGAAGAGTTTAAGCAAATTCTCTAATTTCCAATGTAATTAGCAGGTCTCTATGCAACTCGCTCCCTCTATGAACAAACCTCTTCTGATTTTAACAGGTCTCATACTCTACTGCAAGAATCCCCGTAAAGAAACGTGAGTGCCCTTCCTGAGTTTACTGTCCAAGGGACAGATTATTTTCTTGACCTTCCTTCACCCAGGCTGTTCACAAGTACCTGGTAACTACCCCTGTAGTTTCACTTTCACAGAGGGCAGAAGCCAACCATGAACTTGAGGCCTCCAGAGTACCACAACCAAGGAGAAAAGCTGTGGAAAGCAGTGCAGCACACTGTAGGTTCAGACCTAGTATCACAGTGCTGCCAGTGAAAAACGTTGTGGACCGTTGTGTTTAAGGTTGACAGGACAGCTATGTTCTGCACATGTCCGTTTGGAATGGCATGCTGGAAAGAACAAGTTATATCCAGGCAAGCACTGTGAGAGTGGGGACTGGCTCCTATGAAGACCTTGGAAAGCAGGAGAAAAAGTCTGAAACCCTAGGCTAGAGAAGGGGAGGAGAGATTAGTTCTAGCACTTTCCAAAAAACAAGATCTTTTTCAGAGAGTAGAAGAGAAGAATGAGCTTGAAACTAACTCAACCCTTAAAACTTGGCCCACATTAATGATTTTTTAAGACCGTTAGTTGAATTTCGGATTCACAGCCAGCCTAAAGCAAAACCTACTATATCATTTCTGAATTTCTCAAATAGCCTTAGTGTTAAAAAGATCAGACCATCTAAGTTCTGCCAAGCACAGAGAGTACTCATCAGCTTGTAAATGTGATGTTTAATGTTCTGCTATCAGTCTGAACTGCTTCAGGAAACATCCGGCTACCGACAGTACTGTCTCTCAAACTCCAGTGAAAAACAACCAGTGTTAGGAAGGGAGTATCATTCAGCAGCTCTGGAGTGCCTAATAACAATATAGTATCTAAAAAAGTAACCACAAAGTCAACAAGAGCTTTCTGGAAGCAACGGAGACGAAAAAAAAAAAACAGTTCGTCACCCTCTAGTCTGCCAATCGTTCATTTCATTTTGGGTGACCTCGCAGGCAAGGTGTACCATGGTCCCTCCATACTTAAACAGAGAGAAAATAGAGGGTTGCTTCACAGCACTTCTTTTTATCACTTAAAACATTAGTTTTGGCATTTTAAAATGGAACGAAAATACTGTGGTTTTAGACACTAACCTTATCCATCACAGATTTCAAAGTCCTAATGAATAAAACTTAACATTCCCCTGCAAAGCGCTGATGTTCAATTTTAATTCAGGGTAAAGTGAGGCACAGATGAAAACCATCTTGGCACACGCAAATGAAGACCATAGTGGAATCAGAACCTGTATCTCCCGAACCTCAGTTTTAGGCCTTGAACAGTTTCATTACTTTCTTAAACTCTAAATCGAACTAATTAAAAACCATCTAATCAATGTTAGTAGTTGAATGAAATTTGAACTTTTTTGTCTCGGCCCTGCTCCCTAGTATTATTTTATTAATTTAATATTATTTTTTCTCTTGACTTAGAAGAAACGGGATCAAGCTCCCCTCAACTTACTGAATTCATATAAGCACACTGCCCACAACAACCATGTTCAAACATTAGTCACTAGAATTAGTCTGCTGAAATAACACAGATTGCTGGATTAGTTTAGACAAAAGTCAGCCTATTCGAATATAATAATGTAGCATTGGTGGGGCTAGGAAGAAAAATCTTTTTCATACACAAAATCCTTAATATAGTAATAAACTTGAGACTAAGTCAATGGTAAAAGTAAACACGAAGGAAATATAATGTCACTGATAGGAAAATACAAGGGAGTGCTGTAAAGGGGATGACTCTAAGTAATTAATACTTTTTTTTAGCATTTATAACCTTGTGGTTCCTTGCCATACACAATCATGAATTCACTTCACTTGCAGTCAAAACAAAATCTTTTTCTGAAAATCCTGTGCAAATGATGTTGAACTAGGTTTTTTACCCTCCTTTTTGAGTAAATATTACAGAATCTCTACATTGTACTAATACTGTAATCAAATACGGACCTTTCCAAAGAACAATCTAGTAGAATTCCCTTAAGTGCCACTACAGAAGACTGACTTCTCTTATAAAAAACGGACCAAGGTTTTTAATACTTTGAGATACCCAAACACAGAAAATTACCCTTTTTTTACAGTTAGAAGACTAAAGTATGCACTAAACTAAGCTGCCCAAAGGTTCTTATAGTCTGTTTTTAAAAGAACTCATCATATAGGCTTTCGTATATTCAAGCACAGCATTGCAGTGCGAGTACCAGGGAACGAGAAGCACATCATTAGAGACATTCAAATAGCTGTGTTCACCTGACATGGCAACTAAGGAGAATTCCTAGGGTCTTTAAGGACAGACTCCCAATTCTCCAGAGCACTGTTCGAGTGGGATAGCTTTCTTACCTCACTCCTACAAACTTTCAACCATATAATGAGCCAGGAACTAGATATTAGATCTTTTCGAAGCCGATCTCACTGCCACTACCTTCTCTTGCCTATCCCACATACCTTTGTGTCCCTCTTAGCCCACTCCTTGAACTACTTCTCCCATCCCAGTGATATGAGTAAGCAGTAGCAGTACTGAAGGAAAAAGTGGGTCAGCAGCAGATGCAAGATGGCAGTGCAGAAGCTGGTGCAACGGGGGGATGAAGTAGCAGGAGGAGGACAGTGAATGAGTGAGTGGAGGCTGGGAAAACAGGTAGGAGGTATTTGGCTAAGGAGATAGTGGTGACACTAAGAATGCATGAAGGACATGCTAATGTGAGGAGCAAGCCACAGAAGTCTAGAGTATGGAGGGGTGGAAGAGGTTGTTGATCTCTTCTTTCCCCATTTCTAAACCTCTCGACCACTTGTGATGCACGGGCAGATCTGAGGAAACTCCAAACAGCTCTGCGTTATTGTCGCTGTGTCTGTACTAAGATTCAGCAAACCTAATGTTGTAACAGATACGGTGTCAGCTACTAAATTCATTCAGATTGCAGAGTTTAAATATTAATGCAGAATTATTAAGGCAGTGTTTGCTTTAAAGAAAAAATAAATTAATGTTTCAGATAATTATGATTGCCTTGAACTTTTCTGTTCACAAGAACAAATACTGAACATACTACAAAATATGAGCTCTTTTTTACAGTGGGCCACTACACATGTTCAATTTTATTTTCATATTCTAATTCTCCACTCTTTGAAAGGTACAGCTAGAAAAAATTCTAGCTAGTATTTTTGAGAATCCACCAGAATGAGTGGAGAACATCAGTTCATATCAACCGTAGAAGCTTAGATTTTCTGAAGTTTCTTTTGCTTTGTTTACTATTACGAAAACAAAAATCGTAATAAGATATATACTTTCCTTTTCCAGAAAGCTTTCTTGCTCTACACGTCATTTTTTGATACTTAATATTGTCTCAGTGTTGCCACATAAGAAGCAACCAAGGCAAAACCATTAAAGGCTAAATACACAAAAGTGTATCAGTTCCTGACCCCTGCTGTAGAATCCACAGCAGTAAGTCAAGTACTAAACCCTCCTTGTGCAACTTGTGGAAACAATCGGATGTATCAGAACACACTTCCTAGCAAAACCTGAAGCAGAGGGCATCTAAAGGAAATACTAGGGACAAAGTCTCATTCCAAGTCTACGTTTTTGGTAGTGCTTTCTTCTAGGCTGTGCAGAGCTGTCTCCAAGACTGATGGTCTGCAGAGGTAGTCTGACAGATAAAGAGGTAGATGAACAGAACGGAGTGGTGCAGGCAATCTACTAGGTGATCCAAGCCATGAAGGTAAACTCACTTGCTATGTAGCCTACACTAGACAGAGGAACTCTCCCACAGAAGCTGTTTCTACAGAACTTGACCTAATTAAAGATTCATTGGATCACAGATGGCACAAATGAACATGTTTCTGTGTCTTTTCAGACTCATCTTTAGGATGGTAAACTCAGTTTTAAGTTTGTATTTTGTTTTCTGTTCCACAGTCCATAGATAAAAGTTTTTTAGCAATGTACTTAACTCCCCAGAAACGTGTTGACGCCTCCTGTCAAAACTGTTCCGGCGAGTCAAGTTTGGGAGAAACGCTGTGACATCACACCACACTCATCATTTTCCTTCCTGCTATTCTGTAACCCTCCACGTGTTTCCCCATTAAATGAACAACTAGCAGGGAGCTTTGCTAGTGGAATTACACATATTTTCTTTGCCATGACGTTCCTGCATAATTTATAATTGCTTTTTTCCCTCTCTAGTGTTTTTAAAGAACAAGCCTATCTAAACAGATGAACCATATCGCAACCCTTATGTCTGGCAGCACTAACTTTGTTTTGAGTATCCAGCAGAACTGTGCTCTGTATACAGCAAAGACATTGGCATGAATTGCTATGTTTCTCATAAAAAACAGCTGAACCACTGAAGTGTTTAGGACTAAGCCAACACTCACTAGCTTCTCCATCCATGAATC